TACATACACCACAGCTTGTTAATCCATTCCTGGGCTTTTGTACATTCATGAATTTAAAAGTGTCTATTTTAATTCTTAACTTCTAGATGCCAATTAAGAATTATCACTAATGCTCAGGGATGTTTCAAACCCCTAAATGCCAAAAAAATCAAATAATCAATCACTTTTCTCTTGTTCTCAGTGTCTCCTCTCACACATGCATTATCCACCTGGTCCATTCTGAAGTATTTGTTTTCTAGGCCTGATAGCCAGAAGCTTCCCTGACACTTCCAACCTTGTGCATGAACACCCCTGATTCCTGCAGACATGACTTCTCTAGCTTGGTTTCTAGCATTTGGGTGAAGCATATGCCCTACTATCTTTCTCAGAAAGTAAAAACACAGGGTAAAATTTTTTTGCCATTGTGCAAGTCCAAAAATACTCTCTACCTATAAATACCCAAGATGACAGCTGCTCTTGACGGTTCTAATGCCACGCTGATCCCTAATCCTTTATATATGACCTGATTTATCTCAAGAGGCTTCCCTTTATTTGTGCTGGTGTTCCAAAAATAATTTTATGGCCCTACAAGTCTTAGGTGGATGCTTTTGTTTCATTCATTTTGCTGTGAATTTGGTGAGAATATTCTTTCTTTTCTTTCTTCCTTTTTTTTTTCTTTTTTTTATTGAGACAGAATCTCATTTTGTTGCCCTCTGTAGAGGCTGTGGCATCACAGCTCACAGCAACCTCAAACACTTGGGCACAAGCTATTCTCTTGCCTCACCTCCCTAGAAGCTGAGACTAGAGGTGCCCACCACAATGCCCAGCTATTTTTTGTTTAGCAGTCCCAGGCCAGGTTCAAACCCACCCAGCCCTGGTGCATATGGCTGGTGCCCTAACCACTGAGGTATGGGTGGCCAGCCTTGGTGAGAATTTTCTATTCAAAGAGAAGATAGAAAGAAAGAGAGGGAGAAAGGAAGATAGGGAGGGAGAGAGGAAAGAAGGAGAGAGGGAGGGAGGGAGGAAAGAAGGTGAGAGGGAGGGAAGGAGGAAAGAAGGAGAGAGGGAGGGAGGGAGGAAAGAAGGAGAGAGGGAGGGAGGGAGGAAAGAAGGAGAGAGGGAGGGAAGGAGGGAGGGAGGGAGTGAGGAAGGGAGGGGAAAAGGGAGGAAGAGAGGAAGGAAGGAAGGTTGGTTCTTTCCACTGGTTTTCCACTGGTGCTATTCATTCACTGGAGTTTACATCTGGCTGCTCAATTTTAGAAACAAGGTGCAGAAAGGAGCTAATGGCCTCAGAGTTCAAATGGACCCTCCCTTAAGCCTTCTTCTCAGCCGTACCTCTCACTCTTTCCCTGTCTCTGTCTGATGCCCCTGGCTGCAGAACCTCTTCGGCTCACTTTCTCAAGAGAGTAACCTTCCCCTTCTTACAGGAAAAAAAAGGTTGCCTGAAAAATAGAATCATGCAAATGAAGCCTGGGTAAAGGAGATTCCCATTTTCTGCCTCATTCCCTCTCTACCTTCTTTGGGTCTTTGTTGTTTTAAATACTGAGCCTTGTGGAGACTGTAGGCACACAAATTGGCCTGCTGTTTCATGATAACTCTTCCTCTTAAGATATTTAGGTTGTAACCCACTCTCTCTACTAAATTGGTAATCATCTCTCTGTCTCCTCTGTATGTCTCAGAAGTGTGTTCAAGACTTGACGGCTCCTTCCAATACTCCCCTACTTCAACTTAAAGAGGAGTAATTCTCATTTGTAATTAATTTATCGTCATTTCAATGGGATCTTGACCCAGAAAAACATAATGGGTGTGGCTAATATGCTATGAAGATCCAGAATATGCTCATGGGCAAATAATATAAAACACTGAAATAGAAAAGTTTATAAGTTTATAAAGTTAAAAGTTTATAAAAAATAAAAACGTCCCTGAGAAAATTCTGTATTGGCAAATAACATTTTTCTGGATTCACATTTCTATAGTAATAACATTCCTTAGGCACATCTTCTTACCTAAATAGTGCAAACTTTTATAATACATCCAAACTTTTAAAATGCTGTCCAGACAATAGAAATAGTCTAAGGCCATCTCCTCAAATTTCTAAAACATCCACTATAAGCTTCAATAAATAGAGTTTCCAGCTTTTTTTGCTCTAGCATTAAAATGCTACATTTTTAGAATTAGGGGAGATCCATAAGAACATACCTACCATTCAACGTGCTCTGCTATTATGATCTATGTACGAAAGACTTAATATAAAAAAAGATTCCTCTGCTCTATGTTACCTAGAGGGAGCTGGATCATACTCTTCCTAGGTATCTCAAGAATGGAAGAAAAAGTATCCAATGTATTCAATATTATTATGAAACCAATATATAATCACCTACACACTCATACAAATAATAAAACACAACCAACTATAGTCCAGAAAGAAGGAGGGGAGGGGAGGTGGGATGCCAGGAAGAGGGAGAGTATTTGGTGAGACCTCAACTAATGTGCACAATGCAATGGTACATTTCAAAACTATTAAAAGTTTAAATGTATTTCCACAACAAATAGGTAAGTGAGGTGATGGTTATGATAATGAGTTTGATGTAAGCATTCCACATTGTATATCAAATCAGCACATTGTACCCCATAAATGCATTAATGTATACAGTTATGAGTTTATAAAAAAAAAAAAAGAAGAAGAAGAACTCTATTCTGCTTGAAAACAGAATTTTGTATACATGGGTACTGGTGAGATAAAATTTCTGCTCATCTCAAAAAAAAAAAAAAAAGTGGCCTGTCCTTACAACAAAAGACATACATCCTAGGCTAGTTCATGATGCCTGTGCCTGCTACAAATCTGTCCCCATGAAATCCAGACACTTTATCCAGAATATTTTGTCACTCAAGTCCAAAGCTTTATCACTTTTGCTACTATTCACACTGTCTTCATTTCTATCAGTCATTAATTCCTGTTGTCAAAATTTGTCTTATTTTTATCTCTCCATGATATTTGGACAACTTATACCCAGTATCACAGAAATTTTAACAATAAAACTACTCTAAGGAAGAAAAAAACACTTCTTACAGAAGGAGACAGGTACTAAGTCTTCTCAACATCTTTTCTGAAATTCACCTGCTCTTTCTGTGGTCATACCTGTGACCTCTGGGTGCTTCAGCAGGAGCAACAGACCATATCTCAGCGTGGTGCTCGTTGTTTCCGTTCCGGCTCCAAACACGTCAATTATGGTGGCCAGCAAGTTTTCAGTAGTAAATTCAGACTGTGGATTTTGTTTTTCCTAAAATTTATTTGATTATTTAATTATTTCAAAAAAGTTTAGCAGCATATTTAAGAACAGTGAATTCAAAACATCAAGTTGTGCCAAAAACAAGTAAATTTAGAAACTAAGATGACAGTATTCAGACTATTACAACTGTTATGGCAAAATCAGTATTGTAGAGAATGTAGTTCAGATGATCTAGTCTTCATTTTCCTATGTCTACTTATCCCTTGTTTGCTTAAAAATTCCATTTCCTGGTCTTTCTTGCAGCTATGTAAAGGCACTGATGATGGCATTCCTGTCTTTCCTTCTTCTTACTCAAAACAATAGAGCACTGTGCTATCACAGCTCACAGCAACCTCAAACTCTTGGGCTCAAGTGATCCCCTTGCCTCAAGCCTCCAGAGTAGCTTGAAATACAGGTTCCCACCACAATACCCAGATTTTTCTCTTTTTTCTTTTTGTGAGACAGAGTCTCACTATGTCACCCTCAGTAGAGTTCTGTGGCATCACAGCTCACAGCAACCTCAAACTCTTTGGCTTAAGCAATTCTCTTGCCTCAGCCTTTCAAATAGCTGGGACCACAGGTGCCTGCCACAATGCCCAGTTTTTTTTCTGTTGAAGTTGTTTCATTGTTGCTTAGCTGGCCTGGGCTGGGTTCAAACCTGCCAGCTTTGGTATATGTGGCTGACAACTGAGCATCTAACAATTAAGCACCAAGGACTTAACTAGGCCAACAATTTTGAAGCTCTTTCTCTGGAATGGTCATCAGTGCTGTCATCATATGAGGTATGACAATCAAGCTCACAAACTCAGCCTAGAAAAACTTTTAAGTGTGGACTGGGTACTGGCATTTGGCGCATAGCTTCCCAAGGGAAAGGTGATCATAGTGAAATTCAGTAATGAAGTATGTATCATTTGTTCTACTCAAATGTAATTGTCTGACCTCGTAAAGTGGCTGATGGTTTTAAAAAAAAGCCATCTATATGTCATCTGCAAGAAATATGTATCATCTATAAAGAAACCCATAGACTGAAAATAAAGGTATCAAAAAAGATACTCTATGCAGATAGAAACCAAAAAAAAAAAATAATAATAACTGTAGCTATACTTCTCTCAGGTGAAATATATTTCAAGACAAATACTCTAGAAAGGGACAAAGAAGGCCGTTATACAGTGATAAAAGGGCCAATTCAGCAAGGGGATATAACAATTCTAAAAATATTTGCACCCAACCATGGAGCACCCTGATATATAAGCAAATATTATCAGAGTTAAAGAGATAGACCCCAATATACTAATTGTTGCAGACCTCGAACTTCACTTTCATCATTGGGTAAATCATCCTGATAGAAAATCAACAAAGAAATACTGGGCTTAATCTGCATTGTAGAACAAATGGACCTAATAAATATTTACAGAGCAGCTGTAAATTATCCAGCAGCTCCAGAATACATGTTCTCCTCAGCTCATGGATTATTCTCAAGGACAGGCCATATGTTAGGCCACAAAACATGTCTTAAAATGTTAAAAAAAAAAATTGAAATCATACCAAGAATTTTCTCTTATTGCAAGAGAATAAAACAAGAAATTAATAACAGAAAGAACAACATTAAAAACTGGGCAGCACCTATAGCTCAGTGCATAGGACGCTGGCCACATACACCAAAGCTGGTGGGTTCAAATCCAGTGCAGGCCAGCTAAAACAACAATGACAACTGCAACAAAAAAAATAGCCCGGTGTTGTGACAGGCTCCTGTAGTCCCAGCTACTTGGGAGGCTGAGCCCAAGAGTTTGAGAGTTTAAGGTTCTGTGAGCTGTGATGCCACAGCACTCTACCCAGGGTGACAGCTTGAGACTCTGTCTCAAAAAAAAAAAAATCTATACAAATACATAAAAATTAAATAAGATGCTCCTGAATAACAAAGGAGTCAATAAAGAGGTTAACAGGGAAATTAAAAAATTTCTTGAAACAAGTGAAAATGAAAATACAATATATCAAAACCTATAAGAAAACACAATATATCAAAACCTATATAATACCTAAAGATACAGAAACACAATATATCAAAACCTATAAGAAAGCAATAATAAGAGAAAAATTTACAGCAATAAATGCCTTCAGCAAAAAAGTAGAAAAGTTTCAAATAAACAACCTAACAATACATCTTAGAGAATTAGAGAAATGAGAGCAAAACATACTCAAAATTAGTAGAAGAAAAGGAATAAGATCAGAGTGGTTAACTAAAATTAAAACAAAGAAATAAAAAAGATCAATGAGGGGAAATGTTTTTTTGTAAAGATAAAAACAAAACTAACACACCATTAGCCAGAGTAAGAAAAAAAGAGAGAAGACCCAGATAAATAAAATTAGAGATAATAAAGAAACACTGCAATTGATACTGCAGAGATCCAAACACTGATTAGACACTACTATGACAACTATATAGAAAACCTAGAAGAAATGGATAAATTCCTAGGCATATACAATCTACCAAGATTAACCCAGGAAGAAATCCAAAACCTGAATTAACCAGTAACAAGTAACAAGGTAAAAGCAATAACAAAAATTCTCCCATGAAAGAAAATTCACAGACCTGGTGGCTTCACTGCTGAATTTTACTAATCATTCAAAGAAAAACTAATACCAATCCTACTTAAACTATTCTAAAAGTTCAAGAAAGGAATACTCGCAAACTCATTTCTCTGACACCAAAACCAAAGAAAGACACTATTAAACAAAGAAAATTATAGGCCAATATCTCTGATGAATGCAGATGCAAAAGCCCTCAACAAAATATTAGCAAACAGAATTCAACAGAAGATTAAAAAGATTATTAATCATGATCAAGTGGGATCCCAAGGATGCAAAGAGTAGTCAACTTATACAAATCAATGTGACACATCATACAAACAGAAAGACACACAAAAACCATGTGATGGTATCCATAGGGGCTGAAAAAGCACTCAATAAAATTCAACATCACTTAATGATTGAAAAACTCTCAAGAGACTAGGTATAGAAAGAACTCATCTAAACCTGACTAAAGTTGTATAACAAACCCACAGAATATTATACTGAATGGTGAAACCTGAAAGCCTTTCCTCTAACATCTAGAATAAGACAAGGATGCCCACTTTCACCATTATCATTCAACATAGTACTGGGAGTTCTAGCTAGTGTAATAAGGCAAGAGAAAGAAACAAAAGGCATCCAAATTGAGAAAGGAAAGAAGTCAAATTATCCTCATTTGCAGATGATATGATGATATATAGACTAGAAAAACCTGAAGACTCCTCAAAAAAAAAATTATTAGAACCGATAAAGAAATTCAGTAAAATGGCAGGATACAAAATCATCATACGAAAATCAGTAGCATTTCTATATGCCAACAGTAAACCATCTAAATAAGAAACCAAGAGAGTAATCCCATTTACAAAACACACAAATAAAATAAAATATCTAGGAGTAAACCTTAACCAAACAAGTGAAAGAGCCCTATAATACAATCTATAAAATATCAGTGAAAGAGACTGAAGAGAATATAAAAAAAAAAAAAAGGAAAGATATTCCAGGCTCACAGATTATTAAGTATCAATATTGTTAAAATGGTGCAGACTAGAGACAGCTTCTTTGCAGCTGTACACGGTGAAACAGGGGAGAAAAGTCTTCAGGTACCTCTGGCTTGTGGGCTTTGCCCAGAAACATCCCTTTGGGGGCACAGGAAGGCAGCAGGAAACTTCAGGACCCCAAAAGGAAGACAGAAGCAGTGGAGGACTCAAGGGCAAGCATTTGTATGCCAGCAGAGCTGGCAGTGTGGCAACAGCAGGGACAGTTTACAGACAGAAAATGGCTGCCCTGATTTTTTTTTTTTTTTTTTTTTTTTTCTGGACCTGGGAACTTGATTGAGTTACTTTGGGAGAGCTTGGGCTAGGGAGGGAGAGTGATTTTGAACAAAGCCCAGGGACTAAGACTGAGCCACCAGGCAGAGTGAAGCCTTCATTTTTCTGCAACAGGCTGGGCAAAGCCATTGTGGAAAAGCTACTTTGCAGGCTTGGCCTTGAGGGTCCTAGTACAAGGTGGGTTCTGGCACCCCTGATAAGCAGGGCATCCTCCTCTGGGGAGATCTGACTGACACATGCTTTCCTGGGAAAACACTGCATGGCCAAGGGACACAGTTTGGAAAGGTCAAGGCCAAGGCTAATCTATCAAGCTGGCTGAGGAGAGCTGCAGGATCCCAACCCTGCAGCCACTGAAGGCAAAGAAGTCAGGAAGATGGGACCAGGTCTCAGCAAGATAGAGGCTTCCAGTCTCCTATACAACTGCATCAGTGTTGTGATAAACATCTCATACACCAGAAGATCACCTGTTGCCCAGGCAATATACAGCAATTTTTTTTTAATTTTTTCAACTTTTCCCCTCTAGATTTTTCTTTTTTCTTATACAATTATAATTTTTCATTGTTTCCTTCATGAATAAGGGCTTCATTTTTGCTAGTTTTTCTGCCCCTTATTCTTTTTTTCCCGAATTTCATCCCTTAAGGGTTTTTGTTTGTTTTGTTTTAATTTACAATGTTTTTGTTTTTCTTCTTTACAGAGTGGAGGTGGAGTCTTGTGTCTGCTTAGGCTGGCAAAGAGCTCCTGACCTCAAGGGACACACCCAATCAGCCCCCCAAGAGTTTGGGGTTTCTGGGTGGGGGTCAAAGTACCCTACTGTATACCACTATTACTCTTGCCTCTCTCTCTTTGTTCCTTTCTTCTTTTTAACAATCTTCCCTTTTACTCCCCCGCCCTTTCCTTTCTCTTTTCTCTTTTTTTTAAATCCTTTATCCCTTTTTGCTCTTCACTCTTCTCTTCCGTTTAGTCATGTACCAAACGGACACTTCAACCTTTTAGGTCAGAGTCATGGTAACTTAAAGAGTAGGAGGAAGTAAAAGGAAAAATGAGGGAAAGAAACAGAGAAAAAATAAAACACTCTATGAGGAAGAAAAACCAGAAAAATCCTGGCAACATGTAAACTCAGAACAGAGCAATCCCCAAGGGATCATGAGAATTTCATTCTCATCATACAGATTATTCTACAAAATTCCTAGGATAGTTTTCCCTAATGATTATGTTTTCCATTCTTGTTGTAGCTTATACATATTGCTGAGCAAATGAAAACTCTCCATGTGAACTTTTAGCATTACAGCTAACAAACCTATTCAATTTCATGTTTGTTTCCATTCAATGGGGCTTCTCTCCTTCATCTCTTCACCACCTTTGTCACCACATGCTTCTGAATCTCTCATCACATCATTCTACCCATCTGAAATCCACTACCCTGCTCTTTACTGCAAATATTTGAAGGTCTATATCAAACCTTAGGACATGCAGGAGGCCTACCTAGGACCTTCTTTAAGCTCTTGCTTCTCACTCTCCTATACACTGCGTGACATGAACATTTTATGGCTATGTATTTTGTATTTTCTAATTTATGTGTATTTCCATTTCACCTAAGGTGTGCATTCTGTTTTTCATCACTGCCTAAAAGCAGTGTCTATCTATTCTAATTTTTCAACAATTTAATTTTAAATCTTCCATGACGCTTAGGACAGATCTGTGGTACTTAGAAGTGCCTATGGATCTGTCCTTGACAGGCACTTTAAGTACACAATAGGTCAAGCATTTCTTGCATGACTATTTAAGCATCCTCAATCAGGAAAGACTGCGCAATGAACCACAAAATGCAGGCAAACAAATAACATTTCACCTGTTCCATTTTGACCAAGAAACAATCAATGAAGTCTTGAGGATTGTTAATGTCCAGGGATTCTTGATGTTCTTTTACTTTCTCCAAAACATAATTTTCAATATAAGCAAAATTTTTAAATAATTTGTTATGACTTCCTGGGAGATAATCAATGAGAGTAGGCATATTATTGTAAACCTTGAAGATTAAAAAAAAAAGTTATTAAGTTAAACATATATGGAAGACATATATACCATATATTAACTGCTGGTTTAAAACAGAGGTTAATAAAATAAATAAAATAAAATAAAAAACTGATTTTCCTCTTTAGCAGAACCATTTGCTTGTACATAAAAGTAATCCTCTATGCTGATAGACCTAAGGGAGAAAATTATGACCAGAGAATCAAAGATGACAATAATTTTCCATACTCACACATTATTATTATTATTTTTATTGTTTGGGATTCATGGAGGGCACAAAGAACTGGGTTACACGGATTGTGGTTGTACTCACACATTACTTTTAGAGTATTAAAGCATCTTTGCATGAATTCTCTTACATTTTACATTAATTCTTCCCTCCAACATTGAAATGTAGAATGGCATGAATTCATATTTTGTAGATGAGGATTAAGGTTAAGGAAGTTTGTGCAACCTGAAATAGACAACTAAGCCACTCTCTGCTATTTCTATGACTAGCAAGTAGCCTCAGTAAGAGAATCATTACTTTAAAACTGAGAGAGCTGCAGAGATACCATAAAACACCAATTCAGCATTTTATGGATCAGCAACTGTGTACCAAAAGTAAGGTTACTTCTGTACAATCACATAATTATCTCCTAGGCAGAGTAAAAGACATGCAAGCTTAAAACAGGGAAAATTGTAGTGTTTGTTTATGGTTCATATGCAACCAAATGCAACCATTTTACCATCCTAACATTGGCTACCTCATCAACTAGGATTCCAGCTGTATCATCACCTACCCCTACATTACACAGAGTTTATCAAACATTATCCCCCCGATATGCTAAATCAGGATACCTCTGCCGTGTAATATGATGAGTGGTTCTCTAGGTGCTGACAGGAGGACAAGCTCATGGGTAACCAGAGCTTTGTAACAAGGGCCTTGGATCTGCATTGAGAACTATAGACATGCTTTGGGAAGTCACCAGAGTATTGCCTGGAAACGGAGTTTTGAGGTATGATTCCAGCTCTGTATTCTGGCATTTGTTTTCCTGTCTATAAAATAAAGACATAAGCTATCTTTTTCTGATGTTGCCATGATGCTATCCTAAGATCCAGACAGGACTGTGGTATCCAACCATTTACCTCACAGAGTGATATCAGCAAAAAAATACACAGTAGACACCTCCAAGAGCCTGTCTCTCTACAAAAACATACAACAAAATCAAGCAAAAACAGAATCAACTTTGACAAAACTCAAGAAAAAAATCAAAGGTTTACAGCAACCAAAAGAAAGCTGAATTATAAAACAAAGGAACTTAAAAATGTTAAGAAAGCTTTTATTTCCCCTATCCCACCTCCCTCATGGGCTTAGCAGTATTGGGGGGGGGGGTTGTTTGTTTGTTTGTTTCTGAGACAGATTCTCATTCTATCTAGTGCCATAGTGTCGTAGCTCACTATGTCAGATTGTCATAGCAACCTCAAACTCTTGGGCTCAAGTGATTCTCTTGCCTCGGCCTCCCAAGTATCTGGGACTATAGGCACCCACCACAATACCAGGTTATTTTTAGAGATGGGGAGTCTCACTGTTGCTCAGGCTGGTCTTGAAATCTTGAATTCAGGTGATCCCCCTCCACACACACACTCCAGACTCGCAGAGCATTAGGATTACAGGCATGAGTCACCTGTAATGTCAAGTACTCTTGACAAAGGCAGCTCCTTTCCTAGTGTGGGACACTGGTCCTGGCTCCAAACAGACCAGAGAAGACCTTACTTATAAAGAATTCTGCTGTGTCTTATATGTCTGAGGACAACCTGAAGAGCTAATGCAAAGCACTTGCCTTTGTTTCACCTGATTCAGAATTCACTCAGGAGGGAAAAGCAATGGGCATTTCTCAAAAATCTTGTAAGGTAAAGGCTGGGCATCTGTAATCCTAGCACTTTGGGAGGCCAAGGCAGGTGCATTGCTTCAGCTCAGGAGTTCAACACCAGCCTGAGCAAGAGCAAGACTCTGTCTCAAAAAAATAGCCAGGTATTGTGGCAGGTGCCTGTAGTCCCAGCTGCTTGGGAGGCTGAGGCAAGAGGATTATTTGAGACCAACCAAGAGTTTGAGCTTGCTGTGAGCTATGACACCATGGCACTCTACCAAGGGTGACAAAGTAAGACTCCATTTCAAAAAAAAAAAAAAAATCTTGTAAGGTAAGTGAACAACCTGCAGCCACCTGGAGCAAATGATTACAATTGACACACCCAATAGAGAACAAAAGCCCTGGGAACAAAAGCTGGGGAGACAGTACCTTTGGAAAATTGAGACATTTAAAAATGCACATGTTAAGAAAGTTAAAGACCAGGCCTGGTGGCTCACACCTGTAATCCTACCACTCTGGGAGGCTGAGGTGGGTGGAATGCTTCTGCTCAGGAGTTCAAGACTAGACCCTCACATCTCTACTAAAAGTACAAAAACTAGCCAGGCTTTGTAGAGGCCCCCTGTGTTGGGAGCTGACCTTCTGGGAGGCAAAGACCCCCAGTTTTGAGGAACGGCATTTGAGTCAAGGACCAAATGCAACCTGGCCACAGCTGTTTCCTATTATGGCTGGTTCCTGAACCGGATTAGAATGGAGCTATGCCCTTTTGGTTAGCACAGATTGCTGAGAATGCTATTTTGCTCTTAGGCTGTTTTTATTCAAATTATGCAATTATGAGAAAATCATGCCTTCAAGCTACTGTATATAAAAGCTGTGCAATAATGCTGAAGTTGCCTTTTCTATTGAGGAAAGGTCCTCCTGATCCCGCTGTTTTCCATCCCATGCCAGTCTACTCCCAGGTTTTCCTAATAATCTTGCTAGGCTGGCTCCCAGCACCCTTGTAGTCCCAGCTACTGAGGAGACTGAGGCAAGAGGACCTCTTCAGCCCAACAGTTTGAGGTTGTTATGAGCTATGATGATACAGCACTCTATCCAGGGTCACAGAGTAAGATTCTGTCTAAAAAAGAGAGAGAAATAAAGGAAGGGAGGGAAGGAGGGAGGGAGGGAGGGAGGGAGGGACGGAGGAAGGAAGGAAGGAAGGAAGGAAGGAAGGAAGGAAGGAAGGAAGGAAGGGAGGGAAGGAAGGAAGAGAAAAAGAAGAAAGAAAAGAAAAAAAGAGGGCAGGATTTAGGCCAACAAAGATCTGAGAAGACTCTAAGCTTTCACCTTTGGCTGATATCCAGACTCAGCTTAAGTAGCAAGTGTAGGTTATAACAAGAAGCACTCCAGCACAAAGCCAGTCTGGAAGTGTTTTCCTCTTTCCTTCCTCCCTTCCTTCCTTATTTTCCTCCTTGTTTCTTTACTTCTTTCCATCTTTCCCCCATCTATCTTTATTTATATCTTTACCTATTATTCATCTTTTTATTTTGGCTTTTCACATTCAAAGAAATTTCAAGTAAAACTGGCTGATCATAAGCTAATGAAAAGAAGACTTCAGAGATCACATGTGACAAAGAATACAATACAACTTTACAACAGTAGTTTAGAAAGTAAACTAGACTAACAGCTAAAACCTTCAAAAGGAAAGGGAATAGAAGAATCTCATTTCCAGATTCACGTCATTATATTATCTAAAATGTACAATTTTCAAACATTTACTTCACAGATAGAATTTTGGTTTTATCAGAGAAAACATAAATAATATGTCAGAAAGAGAGGCTGTTGAACTCACCTGGATCCATGGGGAACTCATAATCCTGTGGTTTTCATCGAATTTTTTCATCAAGTTAATAAAATCTTGATCTGTATAATCAAAATGATCCCGGAAAACAATGGAGCAGATCACATTGCAGGGGGCACAGCTCAAGATAAATGTAGGATCACAAGGTGAGCCTAAAGAATTGAAGACATTTTTTAAAATATGATTAAAATATACATTCTAACACCTTGATAACAGGTCAATGTAATTTTAGAATCTATAAATCAGTGTATTAGGGCTGAAATCTTAGATGTTTGGGTTGAGGAAAGATTTCTCTAAACCAAAATTACAATATAAAAGTATAAAATTATTTTATATTCCTGGAAGAAGAGAGAGTGAAAGAGTGAAAGAGAGTTGGGAAAGAAGAGAAAAGAGGGAACAAAGGGAGGGAGGACAAATACCAGCATTACAGTCAAGTGGCTGCTGAATTTGGGAGGGGGATGCAAAGAGAAAAAAAGTAATTGTAGCCCAATTCACAGCAGGATGATAAGTAATGACCTTCCCCTTGGGGACAAACTCAGCACTGGTGTTCCAGATCCTGAGGCCTGACCACCCTATTGTTCATCCAAGGAGACTCAGGAACCCTCCAGGCTGTGGAACAGATTCTACAAGACAAGAAGATGGTGAATGTAAAGACAAAGATTTACAATTCCTTTTTTTGTCTCCCGGGCAACTTTTCTTTTTTTGATGGGGAGGGGAGGGCAACTTTTCCATGGAGTGAAAACATAGCTCTAGAGATACCTGCCAAGGAGAGAGAAAGAGAGAGAGAGCTCAAGATTGATTTTTGCCCTTACCAACAAACTATGAGTAAATAATTCTTTTGTCATTTTGCTATCAAGACCAACCATCCGGTTCAGCACCCATAGCACAGTGGTTATGGGGCCAGCCACATACAGAGGTTGGCAGGTTCAAACCCTCCTAGGCCTGCAACAACAACAACAACAAAAATAGCCTGGTGTCCCAGCTACTTGGGAGGCTGAGGCAAGAGAATCACTTAAGCTCAAGAGTTTGAGGTTGCTGTGAGCTGTGATGCCACAGCACTCTACCAAGGGCAACATAGTGAGACTCTGACTCAAAAATAAAAACAAAACAAAACAAAAAGACCAACCATCCTTTTATAATGTCTATCTAGAAATTCCTTTATCAGCAAAAACTTAAGCATACTAAAATTAGCAGCTCATCACTCTTCCTATGAAGCTAAATTAGTGATTCTATTCTTGCCCATTTAATAATAGTTTTCCAAATACTCCATTTATATTACTGCCTTTCTGTACATACTTCTTATATTCTTTTTTCTTTTCTTTCTTTCTTTTTTTTTTTTGATACAGTCTCAGTCAGTTGCCCCAGGCTAGAGTGCTGTGGCATAAAAGCTCACAGCAACCTCAAACTCCTGGGCTCAGGTAATCCTTCTTGCTTTAGCCTCCCAAGTAGCTGGGACTACAAGCACCAGCCACAATGCTCATCCATTTTTTTCTATTTTTAGTAGAGATCATTTAGTGGTCTCATTCTCGTTCAGGTTGGTCTCAAACTCCTAAGCTGAAGCAATCCCTCCACCTCGGCCTCCCAGAGTGCTAGGCTTGCGGACGTGAGCCACCACACCCAGCCCTTCTGGACATAACTTCTGACCTAAGTACCTGTTATTTTGGAGGACAAATTAAAAAAAAATGTAAAGAGGCCACGTTTAAATTAAATTATTTGTTTTTATATTTAAAAAGACAAAAGAAGGGGAAAAAATGCCTGATTGTGTTATGCTAAATGATAGCAAGATAAAGTACTAGTTTATTTTTATTCCTGATTGCTTTCCTGCCATCTGAACACTGGTACCCCCTGGAGCCCTAAAGAGCACCTCCAGCTTCTGGTATAATACCTTCTCCTAATATGCTAGCCACCATCTCATCCAGGGTCTTCTTCCAAATCTTGCTTTTCTGGGTTAGATTTAAAGAGCACCACTGTCTCCTCTCCTTACCTCTTGCTTGATCACCAAATGAGATATTCATGTTATAATCCCACACACACACAGTGCCTCTCCCTAAAAGGTGAGCTGCCTTTTAGGAAACTGGACCAACTTGGGAGCTTTTAGGTCAAACAACCTCAAACCCATCCCTTCCTGCACAGGAATACAAGTCTCTAAAGCCTTCACTCCCACCAGTCCCAGTTCTAAGCCCACTGCTCACTCCATTGCCAAGGCAGGCTTTGCTACTGTGTCTTCTTCCTGCATTCTCACCTCTACTACTCAGCCCCCCCAGCACCTCCTCACAACAGGCAGAACTCTTAGCCCTCACTAAAGCCCTCCCTACAACTCACATGAGGCCACTCCATTAACATATACACAGATTCTATGTATACTTTCCATATAATCCATCACCATGCAGACATATGGTAAGAAAGAAGATTCATTACCAACCAAGGCTCTTCTACTGTCAATGTCACACTCATTAAAAACCTCCTGAATGCAGCCACTCTCCCAAAGGAAATAGCCATTGTCCACTGTAAAGGCCACCAAAATAAAACAGATCCAATTTCCAAAGGCAATCAAAAATCTGATACAGAAGCCAAATGGGCAGCTCAATGCCCTTACACCCCATTCCAGCAAGCCAGTACTTGTCCTTTGATAAATTCTGTCCATTATATACATCCAAAGAACAGGACAATTACCAGCATCTTCCCACACAGGGAGGATGGTTCCTTCAACAGGGAAAATTTATTCTTCCTTCCTCCCAAGCACAAAATATCCTCTCTTACCTCCACAATAGCCTTCACGTTGGCTTCAGGCCTCTTTACACCCTTCTTTCTCGGCTCTTTTCTCACCCATCACTATCTTCCCTTTTAAAACAGATAACCCAGTCTTGCACAAACTGCACCTGGTTCTCACCCAAAGGGGCCATAAAAACACCCCTTTTTCCCACACATCAGGCCTGCAGCCAAACCCCCAGACAAGACTGGCAGATTGACTTCACCCATGTGGCTCCTGTATGAAAATATAAACTTCTTCTAGTTTGGGTCCATACCTTCTCAGGGTGGGTCAAACCTTCCCCCACAACAGGTGAGAAAACCCATGAAGTTTTCTCCACTCTCCTCCACCACATATTCCTAGATTCAGCTTCCCCAATTCCATTCCAAATGATGACAGCCCAGCTTTCACTAGCCAGATCACCTCCAAAACCTCACAAGCCCTAGGAGTCCATTAGGGAAAGTAGAACAAATGAACACTATCCTTCAACAACATCTCACCAAATTAGTGCCCCAACAGAAACAAGATTGGATTAAGCTCTTCCTCTTCAATTTACTCCGCAGTCACTTTACCCCTCACAAACCTCTTTTACAGCCCTTTTGAAATAATGTATGGCAGAAATATTATTCTGGGCCCTGGAGTCCCTCCAGACTCCATCATAAGAAACTATTTTCCCATCCTCCAGAAAACCAGGGATGGGAAAATATAAAAACAATAAACCAGCTCCTGCCCCAACCCTCAGCAGAGAAAGTCAGAGACCAATGGGCAGGACAAGTTTTCCTCAAATCTCCCTTGCCCTGCAGGACTCTATCCCCTCACTAGAGAGACCTTCACACCATTCTCTACAGCATTCCCATGGCCATTTGCTTCTTGGACTCCTCAGTCTGGATCTACCAATCCCAAATAAAGCTGTGCCCTATAGAAAAACTTCCAACACTAGAAGACCCCCAATGGAAATCACAAGGGATCACATGGGATATCCCCCATGACCTTAAAACTCTCCAGGATCCCTGAAGAGTCCACATTCACATAAGTGTATAACATTCATCCCAATTCTTCCTTTTTCTCCAGAACTTTTCTTGAGATGGCTGGCTACTCTCCCATGTTCAAAGCTGGGATGACCTCCTTGAAGTCTTTAAAGATTTGTGGCTAAAAGGCACCTTCCAAGACTTTCCTCCTAAGGAAACCCAACTTTTCCTCTTCCTACTTCTTTTCCTTCTGGCTACCTCTCCTGTCAATCCTGACCCTTCTCCCCTTCCCCATCAATCCCAACTGAATTCACTGTTTGTCTTTCTACCCAAACTTCATATATCTGTGAATATCTTACTAATCCCCATTCCTATGTCAGCTACACACAATTCTTACCTCAGACCCCCTCTTTCACTACCCACACGTACATGCCAGCACACTGTTATGATGTTACCAAATCCTCTGAATGTTCTTATGGAGGAAAGAGGTAATGAACCAGCAAAATAATGGGCACTGGATGCCCTGGAGGTGGAGTCAGGACTACTGTCTGCTGGACATACCTCACACATGTAGGATTATCAGATGGAGGAGGAGTCTAGGATATAGCATGTCAGCAAGAAACAGGACAATTCATTAAAAAAAAAAACTCCTGTCTTCCGGTATAATCCCTCAACCCTATAAAGGATTAGAGTTCACCATAAGGCCTACAACTACACTCCCTTATCCCTAGCTTTTAAACACCTCCTTCTCAGCTGCCCTGAACTCTCCCCTTTAGGATGCTGAATGTGCCTTTCTTTATACCAACATCTTTTCAATCCCTTACTTTTACCCAATATATATAACTCTTCTATTCCAGCAGAAAATACCACAGCTCTGTTCAGCACCATAACTATGGACTTTCCACCACTACTTTCCCCCAATTTAACCTGCTTCAATCTCACCAATACAGGAAACTCTACAGGCTTTATAAAAGCTGATCTCTGTTCCCTCAACTCAGCTGTTCCCTTATCTGACTTTTCTTGTGTCCCTCCAGGAATATTTTTCCTCTGCAGCTGTACTATCTATCAGTGCCTGCTACTCTGGTCTTTGCACCCAAGTTTTCCTCACACACCCCCAAGTCTTTTCTGAATGACTCCTCCCTAACTCAGGTCCTAATGCATCCTCCTACTTCCAGACAAAAAAGAGCCATCTTTCCCCTTGTACTCCTCAAAATAGGCATAGTGGCTAGCCTTGGCATAGGCATTGCAGACATTAATACAGCGGTTCTCAACCTGTGGGTTGTGACCCACAGAAACTGTATTAAAGGGTCATGGCACTAGGAAGGCACAGAAACTGTATTAAAGGGTCACAGTATTAGGAAGGTTGAGAACCACTGCATTAGTACATCAACCCACTTTCACCACCAACTCTCCCTAGAACTCAATGAAGATATGGAAAGGGTAGCAGACTCTTTAGTCACTCTACAATACCAAATTAATT